GCTGGGTATCATCAGCGTACTGATGATACCCAGCTCTACCTCTCATTTTCCACTAATCCAGGTGAGGCAGTGGCTGTGCTGAACCGGTGCTTGGCCAAGGTAATGGACTGGATGAGAGCCAATAAACTGAAGCTCAATCCAGACAAGACGGAGGTCCTGTTGGTTGGCAGATCGGGCTTCGGAGAGGGTGGATTTGACCTGGCCCTGAATGGAGTTGCACTCCCACTTAGGGACAAGGTCCGCAGCTTAGGAATACTCCTTGACCCAGAGCTTTCATTGGAAGCTCAGGTAACAGCGGTGGCGAGGAGCGCTTTCCTTCAGCTTCGGCTGATTAATCAGCTGTGCCCCTACCTGGAGTACGTCTGCCTGGCGATGGTGACACACACGCTGGTGACTTTCTGCCTTGACTTCTGTAATGCACTTTACGTGGGGCTTCCCTTGAAGATGGTCCGGATACTTCAATTGGTTCAAAATAGAGCTGCCAGGTTGCTGACGGGGATGGGGTGTTATCTTCACATGACTCCAGTCCTCCGACAGCTTCACTGGCTTCCCATTGAAGTCCGGGCCCAATTCAAGGTGTTATGACCTATAAAGCCCTAAACGGCTTGGGACCTGGTTACCTGAAGGAGCGCTTACATCCATATATGCCCGACCGCCCCTTGAGATCTGCGGGAGAGGCCCTTCTCCGGGAACCCTCTGTGAAAGAAATTAGGAGGGTAGGTACTCGGAGGAGGGCTTTCTCTGTGGTGGCGCCCAATCTATGGAATATGCTGCCCAGAGAGGTCCGCCTGGCGCCGTCGTTATTTGTTTTTCGGCGCCAGGTGAAGACCTTTTTATTTAAATGTCATTTTAATTGTTAACAATATTTACTTATTTATCTGGCCAGGGCAACTTCTTTTCTTTTCTTTTATAACTTTTCTAACTCCTTTTATATCGTTTATATTTTTTATTTATTTTATATTATTAATTTTAATTTTATATTGCTATTTTTGTATTGTATTGTATTTTATTGTGTTGTAAGCCGCCCCGAGGCTTCGGCAAGGGGCGGCATAGAAATGTTCTAATAATAATAATAATAATAAAACAGTATTTTTAAAATGTCTAGCTATCTGTTAAGGAGCGCATCAGAGAAATATTCTAGCTGCTGTGTTCTGTTTTTCTTCCCCAAGCCACTTTCACTACTATGTGACAGCATAGTTTGGTATGCAGAAATAGAAAACAGTCTGGCTTGACTGAACTTGTACAGGTCATAATATGTCTGACAAACATGTTTTTGTCAATGAAGGGAAAAATACCATCAGAAACAAATCAAAAAGTTATCAACATGTCCCACAAAGAATACTGGGAAATTCTGTCCAGTGCCTGTAATAGAAACCTACGAACAACTCTACTTCTTTCCTATAAAGGAGCACACTTACAATGTAACCAAACATGAATAGCAGCTGGTACCTATTTACTAGGGAAATACCCAGCTTTCTGTTACTTGTTTTTATTAAATCATGCCCCCATTCTACTAGCTGAATAGTAATATTATGAGTTGTGAAATTATATTGCATATATCACATGCAAATACATTAAATAATATTACTACTTTAACTCTCTCTCTCTCTCTCTCTCTCTCTCTCTCTCTCTCTCTCACACACACACACACACACACACATACATGTGTGCACACAGAACCTTCTGTAAATAGGCTTTAGAACACTGAGGGCAATATTTTAAAGAAATCAAGCATACAATGGAATGATTCAGTGATTAGCATGATTATATTACATATGAAACCAAATGAATGAATTTGCAGACTGCCCTCAAAAATGTTATGAGCAGGAAAAGTCGAATGCGTAGCTTTTGTTTTCATCAAGCTTCAGACTTGCCCAAAAGACAGTTACCTAAAATGTTGCTCATTAGCAAAAGCCAACCCTAGGAATATGTTTACATTGGCATGGATTTCTCTGTAAATGGTTAAGCATTTTAACTGACGGAAAGGGCAATAGCATCTGATCTGAACCAAACCTCTCACTCTGCAATGGGATTATTATTATTATTATTATTGTTATTGTTATTGTTATTGTTATTATTATTATTATTATTATTATTATTACTGCTACATGCTTGGATATTTCAAGTAATCAGATACAAAGAAGGTAGGACTCCAGGAATTTTTGCAGGTGCAGCTTGTCACACCTGCTGAAAAATCCCCTATTCTGCATGACTGTTAAGGAGGTTTATGTGCTTTTGTATTTTGCCACCCTGCTACCTATCAATCTGTTATTGATCTATCATTATTTCTAAGTTGTCTTTAAGATAAAAACCAAAGCAGGTATAATAAAAATCCAAAAAACATGTTTCAAAAAATTATTAAAAACAGGGATTGCCAAACAACCCTGCTGGCTTTGCTTTCCAGACTATTAAACAGCTTAAGAAGCTGCAGCTACTTTACAAAACACACACATAGCTAGTGCAGCCAAATAATTCTAATTATCATTACGAATTATATCTTAATGAAAGCAGAGGTCCATGCAAAGTTCCTCTTCTATTCCATGCAAGGGAGAGGCATTATGAACATATTCAATATGAAAGGCTTCAAGAAGACATCAGTGGTAAAATGAATACTGTGAATGCCTCTTATATGGGCTGGACTTTATCGCACTGAAAAGGTCAGCTTTGTTCTTACCAAGGGCAGTTCTGTATATCTCAGAGGGGACACTGCTCTGATGACCAGGTGGACTCAGTTGCTGGTAATGCGGGGGGGTTTTCACTGCACAAGAAAGGCAATTAAACTGCTTGTTATAAATATAAGATAAGGAGTAAATAAACTAGTAAGGAGTAAATAAGCTGTCATTTTAAAAGATCTACTGCCCACGCACCATAAGGAGTCTCTGGTGAAACTGGAAATGCTGGCGTGGCTGGGACTGATTCATTTCCAATCTTGCTTGGTGAGAAGACAGGGCCATCTACATCATCCAGGTCCTCCTGGTAGTGTACAGTGCCCATCTAAAATGGAAAAAGGAAATGTGGCAGAAATACAATTTTTACAAGTGTATGCATGCTTCTAACATATTTCCTTTACTTGTTCTTAATTTGGAAAAATCTCAGCGCCCCTTAAGCATCTAGTAAATGGAAGCATGCAACAAAACTGTCAATCAAGCCAGAGAAACAGCCACTAATCCCACTGCCAACTTTGCATATTCCTACATCCACAGAGAAAACAACAGAGCTGGTTCCAAGTCTTTCTGGTCCCCCTTGGACAAGGGATGATTATTAGGGGGATCTCCTTGCCCCATTTGCCGTTAGATACATGAATAAAAGAAGGTAGTGCCCTTGAGAGGATGCAAAGCACATTTCCTTTTCAATTACATCATAATTAAACTGATGTAAACAGTCTACATCATTAAGACTTTACATGTAAACATCATCAAAACATATATTACAGAAAGGATACTCAGGACAAAGACTTCCAAGGAGTACCACTCATTAACAGATTCATGAAATCTATGGACTATATTCTCCAGCAGGTCTCCAACAAATGCCCAGCCCTGCTCGCCCACTGTTTACTCTGGCCATGAATTACTAATAACAAATATTTCTTTTGTGCTCAAAAGGATTGTCATACATTATTTCAGTAAATTGTTGAATAAAACCTATATCATTGGGCAATATTATTAAAATGCCAATATTACAGAGTTTCTGCTTGCTTGATCATAGGTACTTTTAAACACATACCCACACAAAAAGGAATTTGTTATGCCAGTAGCTGAAAAATAAAGCAGAGGCAAGGGCCAAGCATGCCCAACGCTTCATTATTTTTCCTTCAAATAACACTTGCTTACCTCTTTAGTCTCCCTTCCAGGGACAAATGATCCTGGACTTTCAAGGTGGTCAGTGGCAACAGATTTTGTCCGCCCACATTTGGTGTACAGTGGCTGTGCTAGGACATCATTGTCATACTGTCCAAGGCTTAACTTCCTGCTTCGTCCACCCAAAAGGCCATCCTCTTGGGAACCTGGGAATGAGAATGCACAACTGCATTTTATCAAATTATACAGTTCACATTTAGTCAAACAGATTGCAGCAAAATCTTTTGGAAAATGTTAAGAATAATAATCAAATAGCAAGCAGTTTGGGTAAAGAGATGTAATCCATTAACAAGGGTAAAATCACAACAAAGTAGAACTGCATCTGTGTAGCTCCCTGGGTGACAGACAAGAGCTGAGTTTCCTGCCCTGCTTGCACACCTCCAAGTTCGTGAGTCAGTGGAATTTGGCATTTCTGGCATTTAGGATTTTGAGCAAGTGTGAGGCACTCTCACCAAATGGGTCTCCAAAGGGAGAACGAGTACCCATTAATAAAATGAGTGCCATGGGTCAGTCCAACTGCTTGCAAAATGAGCAGCAGAGACTCCTTATATGCCCTCAAGCCCTTTAAGATCTGCAGAAGAGACCCTGCTCCGGGAACCCTCTCTGAAGGAGGTAAAGAAGATGTCTACTCGGAGTAGGGCCTTCTCTGTGGTGGCGCCCAGACTGTGGAATGCGCTCCCCAGAGGGGTTTGCCTGGTACCGAGCCTAAATTTCAGGGGTCCTCAAGCTTTTTCAACAGGGGGCCAGTTGAAAGGTGCCGGCGGGGGGCGTGGGCCGGTGAGGGGCTGGGGTGGGGTGCGTGCACACGTGGGGCAAGGCAAGGTGGGGGCAGACACGTGCGCGTGGAGATCATTTTCTCCAAGCGATTCCAAAATGATCTCCACGCGAGCAAGCCGCCACCAGGTGTGCACGGCGAGGTGGTGGCTTGCTTGTGCAGCTCCGCGTGAGCCCACAGGCAGGTGAGTGGGCGCAGGGAGTCCAAATCCTCTGCGCTGGGCCAGATAAACGGGCATAGCAGACCGGATCTGGCCCATAGGCCATAGTTTGAGGATCCATGCTATATTCTTTTCAGCGCCAGGTGAAAAACCTTTTATTTGAACGTTATTTTAAGAATCAGCGATTTTGGAAGTTAACAGTCACTTTTTAATATGATTTATTCATTTTTAACTTGATTGCATTTTATTGATTATATTTATTATTACTATTTATTATCTATTGTATTATCGATTGTTTTTATCATTGTTGGTTTTAAGCTTGTAAGCCGTCCTGAGATGCTCTCATGAAGGACAGGATACAAATGTTTTAAATAAATAAATAAAATGCTCATTACCCAGAAACCAAAAGGTGAGGCTAAAATAATGTAACTTGCCTAAGAAACTAAGCACAAGTTAGAGGTGGGGTCTGACACAAACCTTTCGCTTGAACCAAAATAAAGATGGTGCACTTTCCTTGTAAAAAAAAAAATGAAACAAAAATCAGGGATGCTGGCAGGTACTAAGCAACGTATTCTCAGGCACATTATGGCCATGAACGGACAGAATGTTGGAAACTTCAGTCCTATCAGAAGTGCTTTAGTGCTTGATTCTTCTTTGGGATCCTCTGTGGAGAGCCAGAGCCAAAATGTATTAATGGGAGGGAAGGCATTCCCAGAAATTTATGAAGCTCGAGAGAGACAGCGAAGTAGGATACAGCTAGAACAACATGGAATCACCACAGACTGGGTTTTAAATGGTGTTTGGTGCCTTTGGAGTCCAGCATGTGATCTGAGGCAAGCTGGACTTCCCAAGTGGAATGATAGAGAGGGAGAAGCTACTGCAAAGGTAGCAACGGGCACAGATTGTTATAACGGTGAGCTACGGGCATGCCAGGTGTCAGGAAGGCATCGTTCAGTGAGCCATTTTATTTTCTGGCCAATGCTTTACGCTGGATGATAGTGGTGGCCTTTCCTCAGTCTCCTCAAAGCTTAAAATGCTGCTGGTAAGTGCCACATCCAGCAACAATTCAGAAATCCCATCACCTGAAGTGGAAGGATGCAGGTATGCAACCTTTTTAGAGAGCTACCCAGGCCCAAATGCTTCCCTTTAAGGCATGGGCCCTCAAACTACAGCCCGCGGGCTGGATCCGACCTGCCATGTCCATTGATCCGGTCTGCCATAGCTTGCCACACATGCATGTGTGAGCATGGTGAGGCGCCAGCTTGCTCGCAAGATCATTTTGGACTCGCTCGGAGAAAAGGATATCTGCGCACACATGCCCCTGCATTTCTGCACGCGCCCCCCCCCTTGCCTTGGCAGCCCACGCCCATCCCTGGCACCTTTCAACTAGCCCCCTATTTAAAAAGTTTGAGGACCCCTGTCTTAAGGGGTCTTTTGTCAAACTGAGGCTTCAGGAGGTGGCCTTGGAGGGTTCTGGTAAACAACTTTAAACTCGTAGGAAGCAAACAAATGTACTAAATAAAATAACCATATTCTTTCCTTTATTTGAGTCCTGCCCCCAAACATGGCACAGGAATGAATCCTACCACTAACCCTGTTTTTACTGAAGAGGGATTCCTGAGCACTGCCCAAGTTCTACTAAACCACAAAAGAGTTTCATGAGGGGAAATTAACATGTAATTCAATAGTAACATTTTCTAAAAAAAATATTTCTCCTGCCTACATTCTGAGGAAGGGGGAAGAGAAAAAAGTCAACTATCTTAAATTAGCTGAACCCAATTTACAGCAGTATGATTAAACGATGTTATAAACACAGAAAGCATGGGGAGTTGGTTTTCCAGAAGTGGTTTATTTTATTGTCATTATGGGAACAAAAGGCTACCACAAAGATGCTACTGTCTTTCATGACCATCTTTCTGCAGGTATGGCAGAACAGATGACAGAGTTTTTTTTTTATTTTCAATATATGTTCCAATTTAAACTAAAGACATTTATAAAAAAAAACACACACAAGTACCTCTGGTGGTCCATTATAAAAACTTCCAACAGATAATTAGAACTAACCAGTGATCGATTTTCAATTGCATCAGAGCCTTTCTTCAGGCTGGCTATTAAGCAAAAGGGGGAAAGATGGTAAAAAGGACAGGAAAAGATGTTGCTACAGCCATCATAGAAGCTGACACATCTACTGCTTGTAATGGGTTGAAGAAGGAATAAGGAGTTACGCAGATTAGATTGTGCTGGGTAATAAAGTCAGATTGCCATATAGCATGTTGGGACAAAGCCGCAGTCACTCCACCCTTGAAAATACAGAAGTACTCTATTCATTCTTGTACCCTTTTTGAGTATCTAATTGAATCTTTTATGTCCCAGTACATCATTATTTTCCTAACTTCCACTGGCACATTGTGAAATTACCAAGATCAGTTTAGAAACACTGATGTTTTCACATGCTTCAGGTGCTACTAGTCTGGGGCTAAAATATATATTTGACCCAATAATGAATTTTATTGGCACAGTTCATACATGATGACAACCTATGCTTCTGTTTTCAAACACTAGGGAGACTAGGCCAACGAAGGATGTTTCATCCTTGGGTTGTCTAATAGGATGTCCAAATCCAGGACTCTAGCTTCTTTCTCTCCTGACAAGCCAGACCTGGAATCCAGGGTTGTTAGCTGCTCCTGGTAAGTGGGAGCAAACAACCAGCATAAACTAGCATGCTGGCTTGGTCTTGACAACTTAGGACTGCTGTTGTTTAAAACAACAAACAAATAAACTGAGCAAACTCAGTTGTCCTTATGTATGAACCCAGCCTCTGTCTTTAAATAGCTTCTAATGTAATCTCTTTCTCTTTGTTCAGATTACTGTGCTCCCTTGGATGTTGGCAGGCTTTCCTGAAATACAAATGAGTACATGCTTCCTTTCTCAGCTAAGGAATTAACTCGTTCTTATGAACAAGAAAGAGGGGAAGAGCCATAATGCTGATGATGACAAAGAGCTAAAACAAATAGTCATGTTTTCAACATATCATGGACAATTCACAAGACAAGACAGGTTCATCTTTTATCGTCTCTTTCAGCTGAGCACTCAGAGACACTAAAGCAAACTCTACTGAAATGGAAGAGTACACATATATAATGGAAGTTTTTGAATGACTAAAACCTTTAGCCACTTTGTTGCTGTTGTTGTTAGTTCTGAAGTCGTGCCCAACCCATCGCGACCCCATGGAAAACATTCCTCCAGGCCTTCCTGTCCTCCACAATCCCAAGGAGTCCACTTAAAATCACATCAACTGCTTCAGTGATTCCATCTAGCCACCTCATCCTCTGCCGTCCCCTTCTTTTTTTGCCATCTATTGTTTCCAGCATTAGGCTCTACTCCAGGGACTCCTTCCTTCTCATAAGGTGGCCAAAGTATTTGAGTTTCATCTTCAATATCTGGCCTTCTAAAGAGCAGTCAGGGTTGATCTCCTCTAGGACTGACTGGTTTGATTGCCCTGTGGTCCAAGGGACTTGCAGGAGTCTCCTCCAGCACCACAATTAAAAGGCCTCAATTCTTCGGTGCTCAGCCTTCCTTATGGTCCAACTTTTACAGCCATACATTGCAACTGGGAAAACCATAGCATTGACTATACACACTTTTGCTGGCAGGGTGATGTCTCTGCTTTTTACTATGCTGTCTAGATTTGTCATAGCTTTCCTCCCCAGGAGAAAGCATCTATTAATTTCTTGGCTACAGTCCCCATCTGCGGTGATCTTGGAGCCCAGGAAAATAAAACCTGTCACTACCTCCATTTCTTCCCCATCTATTTCCCAGAAAGTGAGAAGACCGGATGCCATGATCTTAGTTTTCTTAATGTTGAGTTTCAAGCCAACTTTTGCACTCTCATCCTTCACCCGCATCAAGAGGCTCTTTAGTTCCTCTTCACTTTCTGCCATGACAGTGGTATCATCTGCATATCTGAGGTTGTTGATATTTCTCCCAGCAATCTTAATTCCAACTGGTGATTCATCTAGCCCCACCTTTCTCATGATGTGCTCTGCATATAAGTTAAATAGGCAGGGCGACAGTATACAGCCTTGCCAAACTCCTTTCTCGATTTTGAACCAATCAGTGGTTCCGTGTCGAGTTCTCACTGTTGCTTCTTGGCCCACATATAGGTTTCTCAAGAGACAAATAAGATGGTCTGGTACTCCCATCTCTTTAAG